GGAGCTTTGATATCCACTGCACATCTATACTTAGATGGTTAAATCTGGATGTGCAATGCATGAAAAGCATCCAAGTACAAGAAGTGAGCAGACACTAGCATAACAGAAGGCCATTTTTATGGAAGTGAAAATTATATTTTCATATGTCTCAGAAGGGAAAATGATTAATCCTATGTCTTATGTAAAAGGGAGGAAAATAGAACATTTGAGAATAACAGTTTCATACAATAATTAAAAAAAGTTGTGATGGAAAAACATAAATATATTTCTAAAATCAGACAAAGTGACAAATAAATTCAGGCTTGTAGCTCTTAAAATTATCGTTGTACAAAACCAGTTCACTCAAATACTTCTATTGTGCTGTATTAAATATGAATGTATCTCTAAACTGGCTTCAGAGGCTGCATTAGCATAGCTGTAACAATCTGGAATTTACTTTGATTTGTATAAAAAATGATAAAAGACATTTCCCACTTTTCACTGGGAAGAAATTAGTTTTGGAACTGCGTGAGCTTATGTATTGTTTTATTAACTGGGACTAATTCCCAGATTATTCCTGTATGTCCTTGTATGACCTGCACTCACAAGTTGTAGAGAAGGAACAAGCAGACAAAAAATGTTTCCTAAACATTTTGCAGACTGTGTCTGGAGCAATTCCCCTCAAACACTTCTGAGGTCAGCAGGTACAGTAAACCAAAATACCTAGTGTATGCTGGGTATGTACTTGGAACACCACAGTTAAACTAATACAAATAGCTCAAACACAAATTGTGTACATGTGCATGAATATAAGCTTTTTTCTCCCCTCGAACAACTAATATTGCACAGACATAGGTAATCTCTCATGAGGCAGTACTCTTTGTGAGTGTGGAAATGCAGGGTTTGGAGGGTAAGGAGAGTGTTTCCTGGGTCAGGGGGGTCATGGCACAGCTCTTGAGTGAGCTCCAGCTCTTGGGTCAGGGCTGGCTCCTCAGAAACTCATGCCTAGGATACCAGAGGTGGAGAAGCCTGCATAGCCCTACACCAAGGCTGTTCCCACCATTTCCCTGTGGCATGACCCTCCACCTTGCGGTGCACATCCATAGCTGAGCTCTTTCTTGTTTGTGTACCTAATTAACTAAATTAAATGAAATTTCACAATCACACATTTTTCCATGTTCAAAGCAACCTAAACATACAGAAGCATAAATTCTGTTAACAAAAATATCTTCATTAGCTGTGAATATGGGCCTCAGGTTTTCAAACCCTTAGGGTGCAAACCCCATTTACCTATTGTAATTACCTGTTATAAATGACCTTCCTGTTATTGTGGCCTTTACACTTCATTTCTACCACTGCCTCTGTTCTGCTCTTACCCTTGTGCAGCATGCACCTTGAGGACACGGACAATGCTTGGGTCAGTGTACCCTGGTAGGAGGCTGCAAGTCCCAGACCTGCTCAGCTCTGAATTACGCTCGAAGACCTGGTGAAGCAGACACGCACCAGACACATTTAGGATCACCATCTCAGAGATGGGGGAGCACCCCTGTAACTTCACGCTAGCCACAGCCTCAGTTTAAGCTGGCAAGCCAAGCTCTTCGCAAAAGGAGAGCATGAAAACGAGCTAAATCAATGGAAAGCCTCCAGCAGAACTTGGCACCAGCCTGGAGACAGCAAATAGGTGACAAAATGTGCAGTATCTGGTCTCAAATGCTGTGCAGTTGCCTGGCCAACTGCTAGCCTCACCCCCTCTCTCCCGCCAGAAGGAAACACGTATGGGATTTCACTGTGTGCCAAGGGTGGATCCGGCCCCACAGCAGTGAGCCAGCTTGAAGCACAGGCTCTTGTAAGGCTGAATGTAAGCTTTACTTACTTTCAAGGCATAAGTCTTCATCTAGAAGTCAGTATTATGCTGTCTCAGTAACACCCTTTGGTACAAGATTAGCAAATACGTCTAATTTTCTCATGTGCTGCCAGAAGACATGCAATTACTGAAGTGGATTTTTTAGGGAACCACAAGACTGTAGATCCAGTCTCTCAGGCAACGTATCAGATATCATGCAGGTATAGAGCACATCTAATTAAGTTTATAGAAAGGCCTCAGCAAGACTGAGCTGCACAAAGCTCTTTAAGACTGTCAGGATACATCACCTGAGTGGGGCTTAAGAACTTCTGCAGGTACAAACACATTCACATGGAGGATAAAAAGAACAAAACATCTAATAAACAGATCTCATCTAATACTCTGTTCTGAATCATGCAAGAATGGCAAACGGATGTTCTCTCAAGTATTTCTGTTCAACTTACACTTTTTTGTCTGACTTTCTCAGCAGAGCACTTCTGCTACTCATAATAAATATGTTCTAGTACTACAAGCAGTTTAGTGGTTAGAAATTTATTCTTGGGACAACAAACCTCATCTTCTTTCACACACACAGTTCTTTAACAACGCAACAAAACAGGACATACATAGTTAGTATTGTGACTTACATTTAATCATAGGAACACAATTGAAATATTGATCAGGTTTTGATTCTGAAGGTAAACTCATGGAAATTACTCTTTCATCAGTATGGACAACGTCACACAAAGCTGACGTTGTGGTTAAGTTTTATTCATAACACAGATATTTACTGAACGCAGGACATCTGGACCACACCTCATCTGCCAAAGATCAAAAAGTCCTCATGTGCTCTTAAACCTCAAGAGAGAAATCAATTGGTCCAGTAGACTGTGTCTGGGCAGGGATTATTTTTGTCTATTGAATGAATGTACTGTAAAATGCAGATGCTGTGGGGTAAAGAGCAAGTCAGGACACAAGCATTTTTGTTCTACTGACCATTCTGTATGAGGCAATGAATAGAAGCTGGTACATGTATCATATTTCACTGTAAAATACTGACTTTCCACATTTGAGCAGAACCAAGGAGGAATTTGCAAATTTTACTTCAGTTGATAGGTCTAACTAAAGAGATTGGTTACACAAAGGGAGAAAAAGCTTTATTCTGCAAATTCATATCAGAAAATTCTTCTTCTTTTAACCTAATCAGAAGGCAGAGATGTATTCAAAACACATTAAAGCCCCTTATTTTTTCATCCCAATTACGATGTGAAAATAAACACTGTCCCATACTTCCTTACACACTTGTTAAACAGGCACTCTTACCTCCCACAATGAAGTACTGCTACAAGTAGGAAATGAAAGCAGGGAACAAAAGTGAAAACGTGATTCATTCATTGCCTTCAATGGTTAGATACACTAGGAACTAAAACCAAATTTGTAAATGTTAAGGGAAAAGTGTTCAAGGGAGAAGGGAATCTTACAGATTCTTTTCCTGGTAACAGAAGACAAGTGTCTGAGCCACATTAGCATAGAAGTAAATAACAGAAGCTTGTGTTTTCCTTATCCAAGCCCCCTTTTTAATAAACGAAATTACCTTTATGGAAGAATTGTCTGAAAACTGATCATTTTAGTTCTAATTATACCTTATTTCAGCTTAATGTCTTCATTAACAATGAAGAAGTACCCCTTATATCTCTCCAGTGCTTCTCCAAATATGGGTATCTAGAAGTTTTAAACACACAACTCCAAGAAAATACAGGACTGTACCAGGGCAAAGAAGGATGATTATAACTTTAAACTCTAGAGCAGTTATGCCTAGAGGCAACTATGCTATAGCTGTTTGGTTTAGTAACATGTTTTAAAACTATCACTAAAAAGGCTAACGAAACATGGTTTGCAAATAATCTACAGGTATTTAATTTTCATTCAGTAACACCTAAAGGAAAAAACACCACCACCGAACATTGAGAGACGTCGGAAATTGTCACTGATTTACGGTTCGTTGTGGAAGTTGTTTCCAAAAATTACTTGTCAAACTGCCCTCTCTGACGTTGTCTGATCCCACTGATTTTGGCTAGGAGGTGAGGAGGGGCTTAAGGAACCACCTCTGCTCTGTAGCTCTGGGAGAAGCAGCGACATATTTGCATAAAATTAGTAACTATGGGAAACTGTTACTGCTCTCCATTGGCCAGAACAAGGCAGAGCAGACCGACTTAAGCTGCATTTGTTTATAGGAGCAGACCATAACAGGCATAAGCATATCAGTTTAACACAACCTAAAAATCCCATCAGAGTTAACAGGAATTTTTCATTAAATGAGTAAAAGACCAGTCCCAGAGCACCCACCAGAGTCCAGACAGGCCTCTGGATGATACAGAAATGGTTTTAAATCCTTACAAGAAAAAGCATCAGAGAAAGCTCAGCTGAACCAAGTACTTTCCAGCCTGGCATTTAATTCAGAAGATGGAAGAACTGAGGCGAATAAGAATTGAAGGAGGACAACTGTGGAAAACCAGAGGTACACTCAGTGGATGTGGACCCTAAGCAGATCTGTTGAATCATGGACCCAACACGATGCGCGTTCAGAGCTTCTTGCTAAAAAGGCTTCTGCTGGCTACCCACAGCCAGCTGGCTGGTTGAAACTATGTGTTCTTTTCAAATCCCTTTTATAACCTCTGCTCAAGAATTTCTAAGTGTATTTCTTATGAAACTTGTTCATATTGGCCTCAGACCCAAAGTGTACAGACTTATAATGCTTCCTCTGTATGCCCAAATAATTCAACTTTTAACATACAAATGTACTAAAAAGACTTAAGGTAAACCCCCACCAGTTCCAATTAAAAATAAAAAAATTACCCTGTACAACTCTTTCACAGTTTCAGCACCTGATCAAAGAAAACCCAGGTATCTAACACCACATCGATCCAGCCTGTTCACACATTACACATCTAACGCTATCTATGAACTTCAGCTTCGTTCTGCAACATCTTTCAGTTGCATCCACTGTCTTTACAACAAGATCAACTGATGTATTTTTCATATTTCACATTACGTACACAAGTTGCTGAAATCAAGGAACCTGCATAGTGCTGACACATATAGTAGAAAAATACTCTTTATATAAAGATGTATATATATGTACACACACAAAGGCACAAAAAGGTATCATAAAACTTACCATCGCTTGCAGAAAGTGAGTCATTTGCACAGACCAGTGCCAAAGCAAACAGCAGATGCCAAAGATCCATACCTCTAATTCTGTAATAACAGAAGACAGTAAGAGAGTTTCTTTATATACTAATATTACTAAGTAATATGACATGGCATTTAAAATATGATCTAGTTTTACTTAATTTCTGATTGGATTTAAACCAGAAGGGTATTTAGTTTACAGTTTATTGCCCCATAAAGTCATACGTCATCTTGCAGTCTAGGACAGAGAGTAAATACTATTTTTACAAAAGAACTAGCTTTATGAGTTTCTAGCTCATTTACTATAAAGGGAGAAAAACCCCCAAGTATTGTTGATCTCTAGCCTGCTTCCAGGCAGTAGCCACACTCTCCCCTCAGCAGTCTTTGGGGGATGGATTCCAATGACTAAGCTAGGGTAAATGTGAAAGTAGGAAAAGGACAGTATCTCTTTCAGGGATATCCCTGCTCATTGCAGGGGGGCTGGACTAGATAACCTTTAACGTCCCTTCCAACCCATATCATTTTATGGTTCTATGATATGATGACTGCGTTTCTATGTTCTTCTGAAGCTGTATTCATCTTTAATTCCATGTATTCTAGACCCTTCCTGGGTCTAGAACTAACTACATGCAGTAAAGCTGAGAGGAGTGATGCAGTTTAATAACGCAGCTCCCACACTGGACAACCAAGTAGGCTATTAGGGGAGGAACACTGGCTTGGTACCTACAGTCACTGCCCATGGCAGCAGCACGCCAGGAGTGGGGAGGGCAGCAGAAGCTACGGTGCTGCGAGAATAAGTATTGCCCAGGCTAATTCTCTGGTCTGTTCCCTAGTGGCACCCTGCACAACCTGGACCACTGGCCACAGTGCTCTTTGGGGGCTGCCATGGAGGCTGTCTCATGCTGGAAGCTTCTACCTGCAATACTTCTGGGATGGCACCTTCTGATGGACCTGAGCACATCCATACAAGCCTTTACAACCTCCAAGCATACAAACCTTTACAATCCAAGCATAACCCAACAGCCTTTACAGGCTCCCCACACTCCTCCCCTAATTTATCTGGACCACACACACACAGTGTACAACCCCATCACTACTTTGCTCCTGCCATTATCACCAGCATCTGATAACAACAGGGAAGTCCAGAAGCTGGGATACACTGGACTTGTGGACAGTACAGCCTTCTGTACAGAATTTTACCATGCCCCCGAAAGCTCACCAAGTCACCATATGTAGCAGGGGAAAACATACATGGCATGGGTTACTTTACAGCCATGCCAGTGGAGCACAGAGACCACTGGAGACTTTCAAAAACCAAAGCTACAACACCAAAATGAATACGAACGCTGAAGCAACAGTCAGGCAGCAGTTTCTTGTTCTGTGGCACAGAACTGCCAAGGTACAGACACCCCAGCTCAGTGAGGCAGCAGAGAGAGTGTAACAGCTCCACCTTCACATTTGACGATACACTGGTATGACAAACCTTCTTTCTACAGTGGAGTGTTTTCAGTTAGACATTTTCTTTCTTCATCTAAGAGGAGACTAAATCACAAGTGTTTAAACAACCAAGCCCACGAATGAGTAACAAACTCTTAAGTGGGTGCTACTGATTAACAACTGGAGCTGTTAAATCTGGGTATCAAAAAATAGTCAGTCTCCTCGCAGAGTTAGCAAAGTTTGAATTTAATCAGAAACTGTAAAACACATGCACACCAATTATGTAAAACTATGCTAACACTGCATTTAAAAGATAATTCCCTCCTTCGTTTTCTTACCCTGAGAGAACAGATTGAATCACACTACCGAAAAAACAGAACTGTTACCAGATTTCTCGTTCATGCTGTTTAGCACAAAACTTGAAAATCAGAAGATATTTCTCACATCCTCATTACTCCAACTGTTCAATAATTCTCGAGTTTCAGGCCCAGTACAGGAGGCATTTACTGAAGCTGCTGTAGGCTTGCAGAGTGTAACCCAGACCTGCCAAGAGAAGCCAGGAGATGCTCCCACTGTACCCTGTGGCCAGTGTGAACAGGCACGGGGCAGCTGCATGGGCAGAAGAGCTGGGGGAGCTCTGGGGACCTGCCAGGCTCCAGGCAGGGCTCTCCCCTGGCCAAGTAGTGCATGGGTCTCTCTAGAGGAGATTGCCCTATTCTCAAGTGGACAGGGAGGAAGGGAGGGATATGGTGAGGCTGGAGGCATGTTAGGGAGGATTTGGGGCAGTGTGAGTGAGGCAGCCTGGGCAGCAGGGCCAGGAGCAGTGAAGGGTGCAGCTGCTGGGAAGAGTTAATAAAGCAATCACAGGCCAACAACCAGGAGCTGCACTGGCACAGCATGAGGTTCACCTGAGATCAGCTGCATTTTCAGCTAGCTCAATCGTTTCCCTGGTCCATCTGTACTCTTGTTTAAAGGATTTTTACTGTCTCTTATTAATAAATCACTGAAATGCTTATCTGTATTAGCCAGTTCTCCCCCCCCCTTACACAATTTCTTACCCATTACACAGCCTGCCCTCTCCTTCAGCCCTTCTACTTTTTCCTTAAAGTTTTGTTTATTCTTCCACAGGCCTAAGCATAATGTCACTTTATTTACATCCCTTCTGCTCCCTCCCTGTATCAATGCCCAAGCATCCCCCTGCTGGTCCATATTCACATGTCCCTGTTCTCCCAGGACATGTGATCTCCCTCTTCTGATCTTCCTAACACTCTTCTCCAAGCTTTCCTACTTCTTCCTGCCTAACAACAGCCACAAGAAAAGACCAAAACCTTCTCAGGAGTTCTTGTGTGAGAAGAAAATGTCATCAACGGAGTCCATCATTCACAGCACATCTGTGAACACTGTTTTGTTATTCATAACAGTATCAAGCAATTCTGTGGTTGGACCAGGATGAGTTCCCATGTGCAGCTGTCACAGCATGGCTATCCCCTCTGTCCCTGCGCTGTGACTAGCAGCCACCTCGGCTTCCTCCCAGGAAGAGTAGTTTGACAGCCGGAACATCAACCCGGGAGCCTGGAAATACATACCAGTGGTCAACAATCATATCTGAACTCCGAAAAGGTCTTGCTACTGCAGATAAAAACAATCCCATTCCAGTACAGCTCTTCCTCTTGCACTGGCAGACTTGTTTACATGCCTGCACACACTGAACTCTGTCAGGAAACTGGTCCAGGTAAAATTAATCCATAAACGTCTATTATAACAAATCTGTTTGCTGACCAGCTTTATCAGGACTCCAAAAGATGAGCATCAGGAGCAGCACAGGCATGAGAGTGAGCAGCCAGGGTGGATGGGAGGACATAGACACCCCTCCAGCAGCTGCTACTACTTGTTTAAGAGTAATTCTGTCATTACTGGGCAAGTCCCTGCTAAGCCACAGACTTTGATTAAAACACCTAGGTCTCCGAAACAGGACACAGAATTAATCTGCATACCTAGACCTCAAAGGTGATCAAAATTGTTGCTTAATTCCTGGCCTTTTTACTAGTAAAATGTGGTATGGAAGCAAATTATACTTCTGTGAATTCTCACAAATGCATTATCTTAGCAAGGCAAAGCAACAGTGTCTTTGCTCAGCCTAAATTCACCTGGGATCCTCCACTGAGTTATCCAACCAGACAAGTTGCATGTGGGAGAAAAATCCAACCCGTGTTCTCTGAACATGCCTAATATAGACAGGACAGCGCAAAAATGGTAACTGCTCTTCTTTGAAAATATGGATGAGCCACATTTCACCCTTTGTACAACAGCCTCTGGAAAGGGCAAGCTGTGCTAGCCTCCTTGGAGCTGAAACCCAGAGCCCCTGCGGCAGGGCTCATCCGCAAGGTCTTTCTCAGGCTCCTACTCTCAGCTCTTTCTCACTCTGCAGGGGCTGTGAAGCATCAGGGACTATGTGACCGCTCAACACCAAAAGCTCTGCTGGGCTGCAGGTACAACTAACGCACTCAGAGGTATCAGAGGCCAAGGAAGAGTTACGCAGCCACAGCTCCGGCATCATGGAAGAAAACCTAGAACAACGCAGGAGCTGCCCCAGCATGTACCACTTCTGGTAAAACTTCTGAAAGAAGAGCTCTCTCAAGTGCCATCTGCCTCACCATCAGTCAGCTATTGCCTTGCAGGCAAATTTGCCTTGTAACTACCCATTGCTGCTCCTCTAGGATGCTTGCAAGCTTGCTGCCATCAAGAACAGTATTGGTCAGACGCTGCACTGTTAATTTAGCAAGAAACAGCTTCTCTATCGGCTTTTGGACAAAACTGACCTTTTACAATCTAGTCATAGCTACCTTCCAACACCTACTCCTGTATGCATATGAAAGACAAATGCCACTAAGGAAGTCCCTGTTATTTAGCAGGAAAAATATTCAGTGTCTGAAATACACTATTCTAAGGAATAATGTTCCGTATCTTACCAACTCCAGCAGTTTGTCAGAATGAAGACAGCTAAAACCAGGAAAAAAAATAAAAAATACAGCAGCTGACTGTCCTCAAGCCAGCTGAAACTTGACCACAGGAACATTTGGCTAGGGGTCAGCTCAGGCTAATTGCTTCAGAACAGAAAGGGAGCCAGGAGTTATAAAAAGGATAAAAAAAAATTCTTGGCCCTTTTCTATAGCAATGCTGGAGTAAGGCCAATCACAAGTGATTTTAAACACGACATCTCTCCAGTGGGACGTGAACATAGTCAGCATAAACAGGGGAAACCGGGCTAAGAAAATCCCTGAGAAAAGAAATAGTTTAGTCACAGCATACTGAATGGTTTGCTTCTACTCTGGTCAGGTAACAATGTTAACGTTCAAAGTAAACCATCAGAAGTTTTGTTTATAAACAAAACTGTTGTTTAAAGTGAGATCTTGACATTTAAATAGCTCCTGAACCTGAAAGGACCTAAAGAAAGGACAAGGACATTACACTTCGTTAAATTGAGCTTGTGAAGGGACTTCTTCTTTTGCCATCTCTATTAACTCACTGTACTCCAAATGAGAGAGTTTTTTCCCCTGTAACCACCTCCAGTTTAACCAAAGCAGCACACATGCAGCTAGTCCAGAAGCAAAGGTGACCTTCCTCCTGCAAACTAAA